AAAATAAAGCTGGTTATGCACATCATGAAAACCTGCCTGTTTGGCACACTTAAAAACAGTTCAAAAGACATGTTTATGCCTAACTCACTTGGCAACACAGATAATCTGTTCTTTACGTCACAAACTTGTGGTCTCTGACTACAGGAGTCCAGGCTCTGATCCTGTAGGAAGGGAAAAGTTTTCAACAAAGGATCATGGCCAGCATGACCACAAAACCCTCTGACCCTCCAAAGATCTGACAAGGCTAAGTTACATTAGGACTCAGGTCCTCAGGTGCTTTTTTTTTCCTACAAGCATAAACATTTTAAGTGAAGGGACTGTAGGAAAAAGACCAGTGTAAGAGGTTCACCACAAGGTATGGACACGGCCTTCCAGTGTGTAGTGACGCATTCTAAATATCTGATCATTTTTGGCAATATTTTCTTCATGATTTGATTAGTGAAATTTGGAATTACATGAGGCATTCCTACCCACCTGGATAGCTGCCTTTGCCCAAACCAATGGACTGTCCTCCTTTACTACCTTCTCTAACAAGCAAAGGCTTGACACCTGAGCTTTTCCCTGTGAAGGCAAATTTGCCAAAGAGCACAGGCAACACCACAAGTTAACCTTCACCTCTCCTGGCCTTTGTCTGAAAAACCAAGGCAGCGCTTTTTCTCATTTAAGAGTGAATTATTTACATGAGAAATTCCATTTGTGCATAGAAACTGTTTTGATCAAGCCATAAGACTGAACCACTTCCATGACAACGTGAAGCTCAGTGAAGGGATCCTTTTCCAGCAGTACCCAACATGAGAAGGCTCAGTGGCAAGTGACACCAGGTTTGAAAATGCCCAGTGGGACTCAGCTGTCGCCCCTTCAAGTGGCTGCTTTATGCTGCTTCAGGAAAGATTAGAAATCACTAACCCCCCCAACTCTTCCAAACCCACAGAACCCAAAAGCTTGGGGAGGTGAGGGGATCCCCAAATTAAGCTCTCCCAGAGGAAGAGGACTTTAACCACCAGCATAAACACTTGAAGTAGGGGGCAAAACCACAACTCTCCAGTGCCCAAAGCTGCAGTGATAACCAGAGGGGCCTGAACCATGTCCCTCTCCTTTACCTCTCGAGAGGGCAGAAGCCCAGCCAGCTCCAGGCACATCACTGACACTCAGCACTATTCCAGGGCAAGTGCCCTCCATCAAGTGTTAGTCTACAAGGGATCAGCTCTTGAACAAGGAACAGCTGGTTCAGACCAGGCAAGACAGAAATGACACTGCTCAGGGAGACAAAGTACTGCAAAAGCTCTGCAGTCTCCTCCACACAGACTCCGGTGTCCGCCCTGAGCTCAGTCGAGCAGTGAAAATACTTTTGTTGGAACCTAACCTTCCTTGGCAGCCAGGAAACATCATTCCAAAGAAAGGCTTTTTTCCTGTTCTAGTTTACTGGAGATCATCTTCCCAGCTACAAAGATGACCAGAAGGAGAGGAGCACACCCCTTGCCTCAGGATGGAGGGACAGAAGCAGTTTGTACTAAATAAATGATTACAGGTAATGCAAACATTACTGGTGCTATTTTTTCATAACTGTGATAAATTTCAATTTCTAAGAAATCCTGGGGAAAAAAAAAACCTAAAACCTCTTCAACACACTCATCCAAGGCAGTCAGTATATTCCATGCTTCACTGCTAATCCCTCAGAACAACATTTCCCTAAAAAAGACAAGTGAACCAGACTAAATGACAGAAAAATAGATGAACTGAAAGCCAAGGATATCCTTGAATTATATTTAATTTTTATAAAAGAGGTATGTTTTCCTACATTCCAGTTAAAACAGCTCTTAAAAGGAGATGGCCACAATCTCAAGACAAGCCACAGTGAAGCAGAGTATTAACTCTGCTGGGGTTTTTTTATATAGTCACACTTGTAAAAGGGCTTCCAGCTTCCTGCAGTCTCCAGAAGTTGGCAAACAAGTCCCTGTTCATTGCTTTGCATGGAGCTGGCAAAGGTCAGCACAGCATGTGTTACCTAAAACTACAGATTATCAAATCATGTGAATATATAAAGTGTTTCTTATTTGTATTTATACCAACTTAGACAAGTTATTTTTAGGAGCCATCTAAAGCTGGACAGCTTTTATCTGTACTGTTTCCTCAATTATTAGACACTACCAACATTTCCATATATGTAAAACCCCTTACAAACAAGATGACTATCAAAGGTGTGCTGTCTGCTCAGCAGGGATTTAAATCTTGCCTGCTGCTTTTGCAATAAGAAACTTCGCAGTTTCTCTTAGAAAATGAGTTGTTCACTACTTAGAACATGTTTGCATCAATTTGGAACTATTAAATACATCAATATTTTTATTTAATCTATTTGTTTTCAAGTAAGAAAAAAAGTAGTTTTGTTTTTTCCTCTTAGCACGGGAGAGCATTTCCTAAGCAGATGTTCAGAGTGTAGCTACATTCAAGCAGTGCTGTCTCCTAAGCAATTCTTTCTTGAGCACACCACTGACATCCTCATCAGCTCCACCAGTACCTCCACCTTGCCATAGCACCATCAAAACCACTCACAGTCGAGCAGAGCTGAGTTCTGGGAGTAGGGTGGCCAAAACCAGACCATCACGGCAGCTGCTTGAAGAGAGGTAAGTGAAAGAAAACCCCTTTTTCTGGACAGTTTTGAACTTCCAACGCGTTCTTCACAAAATACACAAGCACAAGTGTCTGCACTTAATTTCGAGCTGCATGACATGGTGGGGCATCCGTAACGTCACCACATTTCTTGCTGGGGACATCCCAGGCAGTTTTACATGTGCACAAGCTGGGTAGGAAGTGTGACATGTCTGAGGAACACGGGACACCCCACACTGGTGGTGTCCATGTGGCCTGCACATGTCAGGCTCATCTGATGGCTCCCAAATGCTCACACTTTTCCAGTGCACAATAGTCAGTTGTCTAGAGGCCTGGGGGAAACTGCAACATGGATGAAGTCCTGAAATCTGAAAGTTTAAAGGCAAAAAATAGACTCAACTAAAGGAATCCAAAGGGGTGGTACTCTGGGTTTGAGTAACAAAAGGCCAGCACAGAACCCCATGCTGCAGGACTACCTGCAAAGCCTCCACCACCGCCAGCAGGGTGGAGAGGAAGTGACTAATTTTGATCACTTCAAAGCAATCAAGCCTTGAATCTTATCATAAGTCACACGGCTCCCCGAACAGCTCCAAGAGGAGCTCTCAAGCACATCTGACACATCACTTCATGCTCCCTCACATGACCAGGCTGATGTGCGCATTTCAAACCCCACCTCATTTTAAAGTCCCTGATGCTTGCATTTGGGAAGCAATGACATATAGCAAAAGTTAAATGAAGTCTCTCAGTACATTCCCTAAAAAGGACATAATGCTGCACTTGGGTACCCTGTCAATGCTGAGGAATTCGAGCTTGATTTTTATTAGAAGCCAGAAAAATAGGTTTGATGTGACGGATGTCGATAACTGCCGCGCTGTTTCGGAGAGCATCGCATCTGGGCGCGGTCCTTGCACGCTCCGGGACCCGCGGGTTTAGGGCCGGAGGGGACCCGGCCGTGCCACCACCCTCGCAGGCACTGCCTGGTGTCGCGGTGCCCTCTCGTGGCCCCGCGCAGATGCTCCCTGGCTGCCTCGGGAAGTAAAGTTTTATCTGAGCCCTCAGAGGTTTAATGACAAGTTTCATGAAGATGTCAGTATTATCTACTCCCATTTCAAAAGGAAAATTAATGATCAATTAAATACCGAATAATACCTCTTATAAAGATATTTTCGTGTTAATTGGTTTTGCCGGCTGGGAAAACATTTTTGGTTTCTTTGTTAAGAGTGTGTTAAGCTGAGTAAACAATTTCACTTCTGTCTCTGTTTTTAAATATTAAGTTTATTGAAATAAGCATGAGCTGCTTTTAAAATACTACTATACAACAAAAGCAATCATCAGATCTAAGGCACTACTGAAGGCTGCTATGAAACATCATCTTACTATGAAACATCAAATGGATTACAAAGTCTAATAATGGAAGGAAGCCTTATATGCCCCTCAACCAGGTTAAACCCACGAATATCAGCAGCCTGTACACCTTTACTCATCAATCCATCCCCACTGTGAGATGTGGTAATACCCAAGATGACTCCATGGAACAATAATTATGGCACTGTGTCCCCTTGGCACACTGGGAATCACCACATGGTACACAAAAAAAGAAGGAACTTTGAGCAGCAAAGAGTTTAAATAGGATTTCTTCCACTTAGAGCAGGACTCTAGTATGGTATAGTAGCTATGTAGAAGATCACAAATTAGACTTAAACCATCTATTTTCTCTCGCTTGGATTCAGAGATAGAATTGGAGTTGTCCTTGAAAATTGGAATTAATTTGTTCTGTCAGTTTAATCCTAATAATGGATGGCATTGAATCCACTTGCTCCCTATCCTAGTTCCTAATATGCTGTTGC